ATGTACTTCCCTGAGAAGATAATTCTCATCTTCTTTGGAAATGCATTTAAGGAGGGGTAAGAAGAACCAGCACCGGTACATTGTTCCATCTCGGAGCAAGTACTGAGCTGCTTTCCTTGTCATCTTTTTGGCTTCCTTCGGGTAAAATTGGGATATTGCTTTCTAAGAAATTTCTGATCGGATCCATCCATGACGAAGGCTGGGAATCAACTTCCATCATATCCGGCTCCAAAATGGAAGGGTTATCCAAGATTTCCACCGGGACCGATCTCGCTAGGTCGGTCTCGTAGGCAAATGCTAATTGGCCAAGGCATCGACATTGGAGTTTTGTGACCTCAGAATCTGGCAGATTTTGTAAGCTTGAAAATGGGCGAGGTGCGACCTGACCTTTCCCAGGTATTTCTCCATCCGAGGGTCTTTTGTCTGATACTATTCTTTGATCTAATTCACTATCAACCATGAATCACTGAAAATTTGAAGGTGGCCGGCTCTAAGTCTTTTTGCCATGCGTAGTTCGGCCAACAATGCTTCGTACTTGGTCTCATTGTTTGAGGTATAGAAGTTGAAGCGAAGGGCGTACTCAAAACGCATGCCATCCGGGGCAAGGAGAAGCATACCTGTGCCGCATCCTTTTTTATTTGAAGACTCGTCCACGGCTGGTCAGACGCGGAGGTTTAAGCCGGTGGGGGAGTGAGTTTAGCTATGAAGTCTGTGACCACCTGCCCCTTCACAGCCGTTCGAGGTTCGAACTGAATATCATATTCGCTCAGCTCCACGGCCCATTTCTTCAAGTGGCCAGATGCCTCTGGCTTATGGAAAACTTGCTTCAAGGGCAAGTTTGTGAGCACAATCACAATGTGAGCTTGGAAGTACAACCTCAGTCTTCGTGCCGAGGTGACTAAGGCGAGGGCCAGCTTTTTCATTTGGGATACCTGGTCTCGACCTCGGTCATGATCCTACTTGTGTAATAAACAGGACTCTGCCGCACTCGGTTTTGTTTGATTAGGGCCGAGCTGACTGCATTGTCGGATACGGCTAAGTACAAATGTAGCTTGTCTCTAGGCATGGGATTTATAAGCAATGTGCCGAGTAGAGATAACTTTTGAGTTATTCGAAGGCAGTCTCGCACTCAGCTGTTTGCTCGAATGGCCCCTTCATTCTTAATACTTTGAAGAAGGGGATGCACTTGTCGGTGGACCTGGAGACAAACCTGTTGAGGGCAGCAATCCTACCATTAAGACATTGCAACTGCTTGAGAGTTCTTGGGGCTTGCATCTCGAGCACGACCCTTATCTTCTCCGGGTTGGCCTCTATTCCTCGGTTATTCACCATAAACCCAAGAAATTTGCCAGATGAAACTCGAAGGTGCACTTGGCAGGATTCAACTTCATCTGATACTTTCAGAGGTCCCCGAAAGTTTTGGTCAGGTCGGCCAGGTGCGACCTAGACTGCTTGCTCTTGACAAGCATGTCGTCTACGTAAACCTCCATATTGCGTCCGATCTGGTCGGCAAACATTTTGTTCACCATCCTTTGATAAGTTGCCCCCACATTCTTTAGACTGAAGGTCATGACCTTATAACATTACAAACCTTGATCGAATATGAAAGAGGTGTGGACTTGATCTAGCTCATGCATCTTTATCTGGTTGTATCCGGAGTAGGCATCCACGAAGGTGAGCAGCTCGTGCCCGGCTGTAGCGTCCACGAGCTTGTCGATCCTCAGTAGTGGGAACACAATCTTTTGGGCAAGCTTTATTAAGATTGGTGAAATCTACGCACATTCTCCACTTTCCGTTGGATTTTTTAACTAAGACCACATTAGAGAGCCACTCGGGATATAGAATTTGTTTAATGTATTCAGCTTTTAAAAGTTTGTTTACTTCCTCAACAATTACATCATTCCTCTCTCTACTTATGGGTCTTCTTTTTTGCTTGACAGGTCGGAATGATGGGTCGATGCTGAGGCGATGAACCATAATCTTCGGATCTATGCCCGACATGTCCTCATGAGACCATGCGAACACGTTCGAGTTCGCCCTGAGGAAGGAGATGAGCTCTTCTCTATCTGCGGCTCCCAGCTTGGTGCCTATGCTCACTTGTTTCTCCGGACTTAGCAAAGGGACAAGCTTTAACTCTTATGTGGGCGCAACTATCTCTCGCTTATTATCTTGGGGCAGCTCATGCTCGGAAGTTTGACTAATTAGACTTAAGAGATTCGACTGTTCTTCCAAAGCATAGACTGACGATCCTTTGAGTGTAGAAGTATAGCACTCTCGGGATGTTTTCTACTCTCCTCGTATCATGCCGACTCTGTTGACTGTAGAGTACTTCATGACTTGATGCAGAGTCGATGAGATGACACGAAGTGAGTGAATTATCGGTCGTCCAAAGATGACATTGTAGGCCGACCTACCATCTATCACCACGAACTCGGCCATCTGGGTGACTTGAGTGTCACATTAACCGACTGTAATGGGAAGATCAATGCAACTCTCGGGAGTGATATATTATCCTGCGAATCCAACTAAAGGTGTTGGACTTTTCTTCAACTGCGCCCTGGTCCATCCCAGCATTAAATAAGTGTTGAGAGATAGAATGTTAGCTGAAGCACCTCCATCGACTAACACCCTTCTGACCTGCATATGGTCGATCGGCGGTGAGATCACCAAGGTGTCATTGTGGGGCAAATGCATCCCCTCAAGATCGGAGTCGGAGAAGGAGATAGGGCATGTCGGCTTATGCTCTTGGAAGACTTCACGCTGAGCTTCCCTGGCTAGCTCCTTCCTTTTATTTCTTGAGTGGCCC